GAGTTCTAGAAAAGAAAATCTGCTTACTAATGGTAAAACTTCATTCAACCCATGTTTACTTTAAATAATTTTTAGACAACACCATAAATGGGAGATAAAAAGTTCCATAATTAGCGGTGAATATGAAGGAATTTTTACTGGTACTGAAAACAAGACTGTGTCTTTGAGTCACAATGGTAGCTGTTGTTTTCTAATATTTCAAGTGAAAATGCTTAGAGAGTATGGCCCTAGGGAGAAGACTTCAGTGATTAAACTAAATGATTTAAAAAATTTTTGTATTCAGAATTCTCACTTAATTCAACAGTTTTGTGCTCCATACTTCTAGCTTTATAGAAACGAGAAGATGTAGTTCTATGCAAGAGAAAGATCAACAAGATTATTATATATATATCTTATTTGTTTTGGGAGTTTATTTATTTTTGGTCCTGGGGATTAACCCAGGGGCACCTTACCACTGAGCTACATACACAGCCTTTTTTATTTTTTGTTTTTGTTTGGTACCAGGGATTGAATCCAGGGGTACTTAACTACGGGGCCCCATCCTCCACCCTTTTTTATATATTTTATTTAGAGACAGGGTCCTATTGAGTTGCTCAGTGCCTCACTAAGTTGTTGAGGCAGGCTTTCAACTTGAGATCCTCATGCCTCAGCTTCCTGAGCCACTGGAAGTGTGCACCACTACTCCTGGCTATTTTTTGTTTTTGAGACAAGGTCTAAGTTGCTGAGACAAACCTTGAATTTGCGGTTAGCCTCCTAAATTGCTGGGATTGTAAGTGTGCACCATCATGCCCAGCTTGGGAGTTGATTTTTAAAAACATACTTAATTCAGAAATATAATGTCTTAAGAACCATCACTAGATTATTAGCAATGAAAGTTAACGTATTCATACATTTGGTGCACACTAAAGAAAACCACCTCTACTGTATAAATGTTTGTCTTACAAGAATGTGAGCTTCTCAAAGGCAAAGATGATATTTTGTTTGTCCTCACCACTTGCATATATCCTGGCATGTCCTAGGTGTTTACATGAAATTTTGTATTATTGAAACTATGGAGTAATTTGGAGTAACTTGTGACTCTCCTATAGTATGCAGTATCAGCAAAGACAAACTCTGCTTAGGGTGGTAGTTTCATGTACTAATTTAAAATAATTGCAGTTATTTATTAACTCAGCTTCTTTCAGGCAATGCTTGGTTAGACTTGTATATGTTTAATTTTATTTATTAGAAAATAAGTCATCTTTTAAAAGTAGTGATTCACACATCATATCAGGCATTGACATGACTTGCAAAAACGATCCATAATTATATGAGTAATTGAGGGAGTGTGGTAGGGAACCAACAGTAATATAGTTTCTCAGAAGACAAAGAATGTCAATAAGAAGGAAATGATCAGTGAAGCCAAATACTACAAGAAGTCAAAGTAAATGGAAGTTGACAAAAATGTGTTCAATTTGATGATGTGTTTTTGGCTTTTCATAAAGATTCAGTAGAATAAAGGAATAGAGGCAGAGCCATTTGGAAGGGAATGGAAGATATGGAAATGTATCAGTGATTTTGGACTGTTCTTTTGAGAATGTGGGCCCTGATTGAAAGATATGAAGCTATAGGGATAATAGAGACATACACTCTTGGTTATTGGAGGTATAAAGCAGATGGTGAGAGACTACTGTTGGGACATAGGTTTAAAAAAGTTGAAATGCTGATTTATATAATTATTGTCTTTGATCTTCATAAGTATTTTGTTTTTCTCCCCCAAACTTTACTTTTTTAATGGTTCATCATATTTTTAGAGTGTAAAAAACACATGAGAAGACTTCTCAGTTCTAAGATTAATTGGGCCACAGTTGTCTTAGGTATAGATTTCACCAAAAGTTAAGAATTAGCATAAATGACTCAAAGAACAGAATCAGGTATTAAAATGAAACCAAAAAAATAAGGCTGTCTTGTGTACATCAAAGGGATGGATATATCTCTACACCTAATTCTGAAGACTTGACTTAGAACTTCTATATTGTCTGTTTCTCTCCATAAAGAGAGAGCACATGTTTTAAAAAATGATGTGGCTAGGTGCAGTGGCGCATGCCTGTAATCCCAGAAACTTGGAGTCTTAGGCAGGAGGATTGCAAGTTTGAGATCAGCCTAAGCAACTTAGACCTTGTCTCAAAGAAATGAACAGGGCTGGGAATATAGTTCAGTGGTAGAGAGCTCCTGGGCTCAATCCCCAGCACCCAAAAAAGAAAAAGATGTAAGTTAATCTGATGGTTACCAGCTTTAATTTAGCTCCCCTGCCCAGCCATCCCAATAGTAGTGGTTTAAGTTTCAGCTTCTTTAGATCAGTTTGGTAATCTGTGCCATTGCTTCAAGTGTTCCCAACAAACTGATTTTCTGTCATCAGTGGCAAGCACAGAGAGTAGGTGGCCCTAAGCAATAATGATTATGACTAGGAACACTCACAAAACTCAGCACCTGTTTCTGGAAAGTAGTTGATTGCTTAAGGAGAACAGCTGACAACTGAGATGTGGAAGTTTCCACTGCTAAAATTGTGGTCAAGATAGTTGATAAGCTGATTTTAAGTCCTTTGTGTATATCAACTTTAACCACAGTTTTAGCAGTTGAAACTTCCACGTCTCATGTCAATATTTATAGCAGCTCAATTCACAGTAGCTAAACTATGGAACCAACCTAGGTGTCTCTCAATAGAATGAGTGGATAAAGAAAATGTGGTATATATACTCAATGGAATATTACTCAGCTTTAAAGAAGAGTGAAATTATGACATTTGCCAATAAATGGATGGAGTTGGAGAATATCATGCTAAGTGAAATAAGCCAAAAGCTGAATGTTTTCTCTAGTATGCGGATGCTAATTCACAATAAGGCAGGGGCAGGGGTGACATTAGAGAAGAATAGTGTTACCTTAGATTAGATGGGGGGGGGCAAGGGAGAGGATGTGGGGATAGGAAAGATAGTAGAATGAAACAGACATTATTACTTTATGTACATATGTGATTGCATGACCAATGTGATTCTGCAACATGTACACTCAGAAAAATGAGAAATTATATCCCATTTATGTATGATATATCAAAGTGCATAAATGCATTCTACTGTCATGTGTAACTAATTATAACATTAAAAAGTTAGTATCTTTTTAAATTATCAAAGGTCAATTCCAAAATGAAACATTAGAGAAGTCATTCTGACTACTAATCTATTAGGAATTACTGGGACCCCTAATAGCCTAAGGAGGAGGCTGTGTGTGTGTGTGTGTGTGTGTGTGTATGTGTGTATGTGTGTAATATATTATATATACTTTTTAGGGCTACTGGAGGCAGACAGGGATAACCCAAAACAAAATTGGGAAGGTATAATGTCCTCAGAAGTACACATAGTTCTCCTTTCCTGTGACCTGTTCTCAGGAAAGGGTCTGATCAATTCATTCACAATAAGGACTATATATCTGTGGTGCTTAAATATATTTAAGGGGATTTGACTTTTACCCAAGAGATAGTAACTTCAATTAAATTTGACCACCTGCTTTGTTTAGGTAACTGTGTTGGTATTAGTTTTATACTGAACAATTAAGAAATCCTTTTGGTTTTGTATCGTCTATTTGTCAAAGTTATAACGTTCTAATTGTGGAATTATAGGAGCCATGAAATCACTTTTGGGAGACAACCATGTATTTCAGCTATGGTAAGGCTAACTCTAAAGGTAGTTTTTTAAAAAAAGAATAAAAGAAAAAGACCTAAAAATAGAATAAGGACTACTAATAGAGAATGGGAAGCATAAAAGGGAGGGTGGACGTGATCAATGCACAGTATACACATGCATAGAAATACCACAGTGAAATCTATTAATTTGTATAATTCATATGTATTAATAACTTTAAGAAAACAGCTAATCCTCACTAATTGGAAATATTTGAATGCTTTGTAACAAATTTAAGAGGAAGCAAAAAAACTAGTGTATATCTCAAGTGAAACTTCTTTATTTATAACCCTGGGCCTCCCCAGTGCAAACTAGTAGGGAGACTGTTTCCTATTTGTTTAGGTTTCAGGAAGGTATAGTGTATCTTATCGTCCTTTTTAACCAGGAAATGTTATTTTTTATAACATTGCCATTTAGAATCCTTTGGGTTTCTAAAGGTATTGGTTTGTGAACTTGAAAAGCCCTTGGAAAAGTTTTTATACCTTTTAACTCATTTTGCTGGTGTGCTTTCCCATGTTCACAGACACTACTAAAATTGGGGGAAGTTCATAAAATAGTTTATGGGAAGGCCTTAACTCCAATTTCACAAAAGTCAGTGGAAAACAAAGAGGAAAGATTTGCTTGAAATGTTTCTTTGGGGGAAGGGGAAGAGAGTATATGTCTGGTCTTTTAAAATGAGACCCATTATGGGAGACTAGCTTAAAGATTCCTGGAAGATAGGACTTCAAATGCTGTTAGTTCAATCTCTGTCTTCTGGACTTTGGTATCAGTCTTACATCCCTTTGTTTAATTAGATTTTTTTTGTTCCCTAAAACTGTTCTACCCTTTTTAATATGATAGATATCTTCAAAGGAATGTTTGAAAAAATGAAGACTGTCACAGATAAGTGCTTATTACATATAGGGAGATTCTAATTGGGGAAGTTGTGTTCTTTGAATAAGCCATGGTATATGCCCTCTAGGATACATCACTGTCTACTTATCAAAAGCTCACTTTATTTGAATACAATGAAAGAAATAAAGCCTTGCTCTTTTAGGTATTTTGAAATGTGGCTCAGTCGTGATTAATGTAAGCAGTGTCCATAATTGACCTGACACTTTTTTTTTTTTTTTGGTGTTTCAGATTCAGATATCTTAATTTGACTCTCCATTTGTAAAGGAAAAAAATAAAAGGGTGGGGTGTTTTTAAACAAAGATCTTATTTTGATTTATCATTTTATTTTCTATTTTTTATTTAAAGTGCCTGCTTACAACTTTAATATATTATTTTTCTTTCTTTCTTTTTCAGATGCTTATTGGAGAAACTCTGTCTGTTTACTTTAAACTCTTGCACTCAAATTCCTTTATCAGGAATAGTTACATAGCCACTACTTACAAAGCCATTGGAACCTTTTTATTTGGTGCAGCTGCTAGTCAGTCCCTGACTGACATTGCCAAGTATTCGATAGGAAGACTGCGACCTCACTTCTTGGATGTTTGTGACCCGGATTGGTCAAAAATCAACTGCAGTGATGGCTATATTGAGAACTACATATGTCGAGGGAATGCAGACAAAGTTAAGGAAGGCAGGTGAGTGTTAAGTCTGTAATGCTTGTTTCATTTTGGGTATTCTTGGACTGGAAGGTTTCACTGATTTGGAACACAAGCCATTGGCTAGCTGAAAAAAGAGAGAAGGTAGTGTGATCACTGGGAGTGAATTGAAATCATATATGTACAAGTCTTGTATTCTATTCTTTTTTCCTCTTTATTTTAAAAATATTTTTAATTTTTAAAACTTTGTTCTTTTTAGATGTACAAGACAGTGGAGTATATTTTGACATATGTATGTAGAGTATAACTTATTCTGATTAGGTCATTTTTCCTCTTTTAACTGTGGTTTTTTATCAATTTAAGAGCATTTTACTGAAACTATTTTCATTGCCAGTGTGTAAGAATGTAAAATGAACTATATAGATCATGTAGGCCAGGGTCAGCAAACTTTAAGATGCCAGATTAAAAATATTTGAGGATTTGGAGGCCATATGTTCTTTTTCACAAATATTGAACTCTGCCATTATAGCAGAAAGGCAGCCATAGGTAAATGAATGTGTGGCTGTGATCCCGTAAAACTTTATTTATACAAAATAAAACTGTCGCAGGAGTCAGTTTGCTCAATCCTGATCCAATCCAACCATTCTATGAAGCTCTGCTAGATCTTGTAGTATTCTTAGAGTATATTTTTGTAAGGGGAGGTTCACATCATGATAGTTCTTGGTCCTCAGGTTGCTGCTTCCTACTCCTTTTCCTCTTCCTCCTCCTTATTGAGATTAGAATCCAGGGCCTTATCATGCTAGGAAAGTGCCCTCTCACTTTCTACACCCCCAGCCCAGGTTGCCTTCTTATACACCCTCATTAAACTACTTTTTGTATTCCAAATTACTGTTAGCCATGAATAAAATACAATATTTAACCTGGGCATGGTGGTGCATGCCTGTAATTCCAGTGGCTCAGGAGACGGAGGAAAGAGGATTGCGAGTTCAAAGCCAGCCTCAGCAAAGGCAAGGCACTAAGCAACTCAGTGAGACCCTGTCTCTAATAAAATACAAAATAGGACTAGGGATGTGGCTCAGTAGTTGAGTGCCCCTGAATTTAATCCCTGGTTACCTGCCCCCAACCAAAAAAAAAAAAAAAAAAAAAAAAGAAAGAAAGAAATACAGTATTTAGAATCCAGAAGGTCTAATTCCTTTAATTTATAGACGAGGTTAAAAAAACAGACCCAGTAACATTAAGTGAAGCCATAGTTGGCAGCAGAGCCAATTCTTCATCTCAAGTCTCAAAATTGCCAGGTTTGTCTTTTCTATATGGTTACCTTCTTATATTTTAAGACAGCTATTAATTTCCCTTACTTGTTCATCATCCAGCAAACATTTTTTTCTGGGTGAAGCATCCTTTGATTGTTTTATATGATTTCAAGATACTTCATTGTCTTTGTTCTCTTGTAAGCAATATAGGCCTGTAGATAGCAGTTTTTGCATTTAGTGTGGATGAAAAAAACACCTTATTTAGCTAGAGTATAAACTGTGCCCTATGCTAGGGATTTGGCAGTGAACAAGACATTTCGGGCTGCCATTTTTTTAAAAAATATTTTTCAGTTGTTGATGGACCTTTATTTAATTTATTTATATGTGGTGTTGAGAATAAACCCAGTGCCTCATACATGCTAGGTGAGGGCTCTGCCACTGAGCTACAACCCCAGCCTTTGGGCCCCCATTTTTGTGGAAGAATACTCATTAAACAAATGATGAGAATGGAAGAGGACCTTCCTGGTGATGATGAGGTTGAAGAATGGAGAGCTCATGCTACTGAATGGCAAGCTTTGAGGTGATAAGGAGAACTGATATGGATGTAAAGACTTAAAGGAGGGAAAAGTGACTGAGGAGGTAGAAGTTGAAAAAAGAGAAGGTGATATTTTTAGGTAGCAGTTGATATTTTTTATTTGATCTCAGGTGAGGGGTAGAGTAAGAGCAGTCTAGAAATGGCTTTGAGAAGTAATGAAGATACTAATATTAATACTGGACTCTTAAGGTGTATGGGATATGGAGATCTCTTTTGCTGCTTTGATAGAACTAAGGGGCCAAGCAGACCTAGGGAAAGGCTCTTTAATTGGATGACTCATAGATAAACTTTCAGGGAAGAGTTGGAAGACACAGGAAACGATAGAGGACTTTAACAATAGAAGTGGAATTCCAGAGTTTGTGGTGGTGGAGTTGGGATGGAGGGAATGATCAAATGAGTTGCTGGGAACTGAGGAACCTTACTGGAACTGAGGCTAAAATTTAGGACAAATTATAGAGAATAACTGAGTAAAAACAGCATGAGAAACAAAGTTAGTAGAATAAAATTATCAGTTTCTTCTTTCATTTGAAGTTTAACTGTACAGCCTCATAAAAATACCATATGGATTTAAATTGAAGAATGAAAACTACCTTTAAGAATTTAGCTCACAAAGGAAAAGAAAAACACAGCTGCTCCTTGACTTATAATGGGGTTATGTTATAATGAACCCATCATTAATGTTGAACCCCGACACAAAGAAAAGACTACCTACTCCAATTTTAAATCAAATTAAAGCAAGCTTGTATTTGTGTACACAAAGGGAGCTGATCAGCGGCTGTCTCCCCTAACACGGCTAGAGACCAGCCCCCCAGCTCTTCAAGAATGAGATTTTATAGCACAAAAAGTTGCAAAGGGATGTCTTGAGAACTTATAGATAACAGGACTTTGATAACCTACTATCTGCCTTTGTATTATGCTTATCAAAGTATCATAGTAGGTTAATGATCCACATGGCATGATATTTCAAGGTAGGGAGTAAATTCAGATCCCAACATCAGAATTTATGAGATGCCGCTAAGGTTTCAGAGAGGGTTGTTATCTGGTCAGGGAAAACCAGGCATGGGTGAGTTCAAGGCATGGGCAGGAATTCTAAACAAGTTTAGCAATCGCAGTAATTTATAGTAAAACAGAAATTAACTTTTCTTGACTTTGTGACAAAATGACTCCCAATCTTAAGATGGAATTAGGCTGGGTTCATCAATTAACTGAAAAGTAAAAAATGCATTTAATATATCTAACCTATTAAACATCTAAGCTTAACAACAGAGTATTCTGTAGAATATCAGTTGTTTACCTTCTTGGTCATGTGACTAACTGGAAGCTATGGCTCTCTGCTGCCCAAAATCATGACAATATTATACCACATAGTGCTAGCTTAGGAAAGAACCAAATCTGAAGTCCAGTTTCTACTGGATGAGTATTACTCCCACTGTATTGTAAAGTTGAAAATTGTAAGTCAAACCTTTAAAAGTTTAGAATGGTCTGTATATATTAGCTGAATCACCTTTTAAAATAAGTGTCATTTAGGTGTATTTCACATAAATTAAAACCTATCCACCTTAAGTGTACACTTAGATAAGTTTTATGTATAAAGGTGTTTACCATGATAATCAAGATTTTGAATATTTCTATTTAAAGTTTGCTCCTGAGCCTTTGCTGTCAATTCATACTCCTGTTTGCAATCCCCAGATGTACTTTCTGCTCTTATGGTTTTGTGTGTTCTAGAATATTGTATAAAAGCAATTATGTGGTGATCACTATTGTGACTGCCTTCTTCATGTTGGTTTTGTGATTCATTCATGTTGTACTTCTCTCTCATTTTCTCTCTCCCTCTCCCTCCCCTTTAGTCTCTCTAGTCCTGCCTCCCTTTTTCCTTTCCTTCATTGCTAAGGTGTATTAGATTGGATGGATGTGTCACAGTTTGCTTATCTATTCATCAGAATGTTGATGGACTTTCAGGTGGTTTCTAATTTGGGGCTATTAAAAGTAAGGTGCTATGAACATTTGTGTATACGTTATACACTTTCATTTCTCTTGAATAAATATTTGAGAGTGGAAATTCTGGGCCATTCAGCCAGCATATGTGTAAGTGTTTCTAAGAAGCTGTTAGACTTTTCTACCGTGGCTGTACCATTTTGCACTCCACAAAAACTGGAGTTCCAGTTAACGACACATCTTTGCAATCATTTATTATTGGTTAGTCTTTTAGACATTCTAGAAGGTTTTAGATAGTCTTTTAGACATTCTGTGTTCTTCTGAGTTAACTTTTGGTATAATGTGAGGAAAGAGTCACAATTTATTGTTTCTCCATTGACTATCCAGTTATTTTAGCATTATTTATTGATAAAACTATCCTTTTCACAAATTATCTTACCACCTTTTTTGGAAAACAGTCAACCATATAAATGTGAGTCTGTTACTGGACTACTTCTGTTTCATTTATTTCTTTGCCTCTCTTTATGCCAAGATTATACTGCAATTTAGTATTAAAATAAAATAATGCGGTGGCACATGCCTGTAATACCAGCAACTCGGGAGGCTGAAACAGGAGTATTGTGAGTTCAAAACCAGCCTTAGCATTGGCAAGGCACTAAGCAACTCAGACCCTGTCTCTAAATAAAATACAAAATAGGGTTGTGGATGTGGCTTAGTGGTTGTTTTGTCTATCGTCTTTTCCTTCTTTTTTTTTAATATTTTTTTTAGTTGTAGATTGACACAATGCCTTTATTTATTTTTATGTGGTGCTGGGGATCAAACCTAGTGCCTCACTCAGGCTAGGCAAGCGCTTTACCACTGAGCCACCACCCCAGCCCTCTGTTTTCTTTGCTAAAATTTAAAAATATATTTTTTAGTTGTAGATGAACACAATACCTTTATTTATTTATTTATTTATTCATTCATTCATTCATTCATTCATTTATTTATTTTTATTTGGTATTGAGGATTCCAAACACTTGCCAGGCAAACTCTACCACACAGAGCCACCCCAGCCTTCTTTGATAGTATTTTGATTACGATTGCTTTAAATCTGTAGGTCATCATGTGAAGAATTGTTCTTAATATCAAGTCTTTCAAACCATGAATTTGGTATATCTGTTCATTTGTTTTGGTTTTCTTTAGTTTGTCTTACCAGTATTTTTAAGTTTTCAGTGTCTGGGTCTTGTGCACTTTTTGTGAAACACATTGCTAAGTTT